CCCCTGCGCGTGCCCACGCCTGTCCGTGTCGCCCAGACTCCGCATCTCCGTTTCCCGAAGATTCGCCCTGGCGCAAGCATGCCCTGTGTCCTCTTCTGGCCTCGGAGAGAAAGGCCTCACAACCATTAAGGCCAGAACACTGGGCTCATATGCCAGTTCCGTTCCCTAAATGCTACTGAGCGAGACAGGTCTACCGAATGTCACCCAGGCCACGCGAGAGGAGACACAGAATTCACCTCCATGTGCCTTTCTAGACGTGAGAAATCTACCAATAAGGTGACCGCCGATCTCGCCCACTTAAAAGACACCAGAACCTTGGGTCTCGCCAACTTAAAAGACATCAGAACTGTGAAACGAATACTTGAGTTTGGCTTCCGGCCTCACCCGCTGCAGAAACTCCACGGGACTGTACTTGGGCCCCAAGACAAAGATTTTCCTCCCTCTGCGGGCCACGCCGCTGAACACGCGAGCAAACGCCACGAACGTCTCCTGGTTGGTCTCCTGGCTGCTTTCGTCCTGCGGCGCGGGCCTAGGGGTCACACTCCCCACCTGCGGCTCACCCCCTGCCAGGAACAAAGGGGTCATGAGTGCCAAGCATGCCCTCCCCAGGGCGGGGGACACAGAGGGACAGTGAATACCATGGACATCTGGCCCAGTTCCAGGACAGAAACAGCAAGAATAAAAGAACATTGGTGCCCGGCCAGTGTGGCTCAGTGGTTGAGCGTCAACCTAGGAGCCAGGAGGTCACGGTTCGATTCCCGGTCAGGGCACAGGCCCGGGTTGCGGGCTCGATCCCCAGTCGGGGGTGTGCAGGAGGCAGCCGATTCATGATTCTCTCTCATCATGGATGTTTCTCTATCTCCCTCTCCCTTCCTCTCTGAAATCAATCCTATATAATAAAAGCCTAATATGCAAATCGATCAAATGGCGGAACTACCTATGGAACGACCAGTCACTATGACGCACACTGACCACCAGGGGGCAGACGCTCAATGCAGGAGTTGACCCCAGCCCGCAGGCCAGCCAAGGCGGGTCCCAGCAGGGTCCCCCAATCACCCCACCAGTCGCCCCACAGATCAGCCCTGATCGCTGGCCGGGCCTAGGGAACCTGCCCGTGCACGAATTTTGTGCATTCGGCCTCTAGTAAAAACATATTGAAGAAACAAGTACAGACATTTGACATTAAAAAAAATATTTGGCACCAAAGCCCATTGGGAAAGCTGTACCTTTCGGCTCCTCTCCCTCCGGACTCGTTTCAGGGGTGCTGCTGTC